AAAACAAAACGTTTTCATAGCAATCGTTAAGTAGACTATAATAATTAAAGTGTAAATAAATATCAGCAAGGTCGAATATAGTTATGTATTCTCTAGTATAAAATATATATAAAAAGAGATCAAAGATTATAATTTATTTATAAACAAATCAGTATTTTGATGTCTCAATATCAGCGACTACAGGAATCTGCGGATAGTCTTCAACACATAATTGGACAAACTAATGAACGATATCAGACCGAAAACATTTAAAGGTATTCATGTATAAATAAGATCAGTTTTAATGATTACCTTTTATATAAAAAACAGTAATTTTAGTAATGCGGAAATACTTGTTAATTTGTGAAGCTCAATTTTTAAGATGTTCTACAGTTTTTACTTATTTTTGGGGAGAAAGGGAAATCAAATTCAGCGGTTGCTAACAAAAGCATATACACATTCGTTCGACTAATGACTGTGGATTTGAATTCATTTATTAGGTCCTCGCACGTAATGACAATATAAAGCTTTAGTTAAAATCAAGGAGTAGAATTGCAAAAATTAGTAAAAGAACGTGCTTGTAACCAGAAGAGCAGTGAGACTGATTAAGATTGGATTTATTCGCTCGATTAAAAGTAAACGCTCAGTCCATTGTCCAAACATAAATTTTTTTTTTACTATTTTTTACAACTGGGGAGTACGCACTAAAGTATGAAAAAAAACGAACAAAATATTCCAGTAGAAAAGAAAATTAAATAACTTCAACAACTCCAACAAGTAAGATAGCTATATGCGTCGGGGGCCGAGTCTCGCATGCCCACCATAATGTTTTTCGCATTCCACTCTCCAAGTTCTTTTATTTAATACCCATATCGCCCGTATTATTAAGACAAAAGTAATTGCAAATCTACCATATTCATTTTAAAATTAACCCATTTTTAGGCAGATTGTATAATTTCATTAAAGGAGTGTACAAAATAGTCCAAAAAATGAAAAAAAAAATTTAATCTCTTGTAACTTTATGCAGGCTTGGTGGATGGCCCATTTTTAATACCAATCTGCGTGCAGAAACTTTCAATGTGTCTACTAAATTTGAAGTCATCTTCATTTTTGCGACCATATACTAGGAAAAAAAAAACAATATGAGTATAGCCCCATCTTACAGCGGTGGGAATAAAAATATAGCCTCATTGATATTGGGTTTTTTCATATAAGGAAGGATACGAAGAAAAAACAGCATATTATTAAAAATTAATATTCGGAGAGTTATTCTTTTGGATTAACGTCATTTAAACGTTTTCACATTTTGTACAATTTTTCTTGTATAGGAAACAGGAATTTTATCTATTCTTCTTGTAGTCTATTTTTCACATCTTGGACGGAAAATATTGAGTGTTTTCGCATACGCGGGTTTAATTCATCCCAGATATTTTTGATGAGGTTTATTCGTGGCGATTGAGAAAGATGGTAAAGCACTTTGGGGCAGTTATATAAGATTCATTCTTGAATTAAGCGGGATTTATGCTTGAGGCCGTTATCTTTGTAGAATTAGACATTGAGCTGATAATTTTTGATTGCAGTTCATTGGAGTCGAAGTTGGATTACATTCGCTCATTCCAAATTGTGCAAAGATATTCGCTATATGTCGTGGCTGATCGATTTTGATCGCTTATTTGTTTCTGGCGAGTTTTGAACCAAGCACTGATAGCATATCTTTCATTTTAAACTTTCTGGCGAACTTGGTTTTCAGCGATTCAATAGACTTCAAGTTGTTTAGAAAACTTAAAACTTCGTCGACGTATATAGCTACAAACTGTTGTTGGTCGCCATCAATTTTGTGGTAAACGTATTGATCAACTTCACCTCCTACGGGACTCATCTTAAGCAATTCATTGTTAATAGTGTAATTCCAAACAAGTCCTGGTTGTTTCAAATCATAAATAGATTTTTACAACTTGCAAACAATTTTTCGAACATTTCAGGTTGTTGAATATATACCACCTCTTTCAGCCTACCCTTTAAATAAACACTAACAGCGACCATTTGGTGTATAGACATGTCTTATTTGACAGCCAACGCCAATAAAGAGTCGATTAGAGTTGATTCCTTCAGGTTGGGAAAAAATCCTTAGGCACCTATCTCCTCTTCCGCCTTATAGTATTCTCATGCTCGTCTCTTTTGGTTTTAAATACCCACTTTCACTTTATAGCTTTTTGAGCTGGCGACAAGTTTGTCAACAGCCACGTATTATTTGTCATCAATGAATCGATCTCCTCTTTCATGGCAATTTTCCATTCATTTGGGTTGTTTGACGCATCCTGTACACTGCGCGGATCATTGAAAACAAATTGTATTGCATAAAAGCTTTTTGATTGCTCTTTCCTGTTGGTGATGCGATTATTAGCGGATATTTGCATCCATGGAAATATTTTGAGCAGCTTTGCATTGGGACCTGCCACCGCTGTCAGTTTTAATGGAAAGTGGCAACCACTCATTGGGATCATTGTGATTGCTTTCATCTGATCCATTCTCAGCTCGTCCAGGGTTCACATTTGATTCAATTGAAACCAGTTACCGCCCGAATTAATATTATCGTAACTTCGCAGCAATTCTTGGCAGTAAAAACTAATACCAGCATTTAGAATCACTTTCCTACTTCCCAAAAACACTACATGATGGTTGATGATTATACTATTATCTTCAGGGTTACATATTCTGTAAGCTTTGATCCAACTGTTATAATCAATCATGATGTTTTTCTGTAGCTATGTGCACGAGAGCAGAGCATCCAAAAGTTCTTAAATATTTTCACTACCGCAATGGAGCCTGTTGATTAAGTAATGCGCTGTCTTGGTAGTTTCAACGCAAAAGCGATGATAAGGACTGCTGATGAGCAGACACCTAACACGTTTGACTTATTCTCTCTTCTATACCGTCCTCTTCTGGGAAATAAGGACACGTATTTTGGTGAGTCACCCGGTTGTCCTGTCGAAACGATCAAAACTTCTGCTTATATACTCACCGTTGTATCTTCTTTGAATTTTTTATTTTTGTTGAACACTAGTTCTCGACCTTTCGTTTAAATTCAACGAATGTTTCAAGAACAACAGATTTTCTTTTAGGGGCACAAACAAATAACTTTCACGAAAAGCCATCTATAAATGTAATTAAGAGGCGTGCACCAGTTAACATCAAGTAGAGCAATAACATCAGAATGTATAAGTTCTAATGGCTGTTGTATCTGTTCTCTAGTCGGCTTGCTGGTTCGTTGGCCTTAAATCATATTACACAACGCTCATTGCTTTCATTTTTAAAATGAATGCCAAATTAAGATTTTTTTTACTTCATTTAAATTTTTTCAGAAATATGGCAAATTCTAACGGAAAATTTATTTTCTTTTATTTGTGCTTTAGTGTCGATGGGATGTACAAGTCGTTGTAAACCGCGCTAGAAGTAACAAGTATATCCTTTTTATTACTATACCGTGTTTCTCCTTCAAAGATAATTTGTGATCATCTTTGGTCGTTTGTCTTACCAAGAGAAGATTTAAGGACAAATTAGTTTTTTACTCCAACGTGCTTTGTTGTTTTCTTCGCTTCAAATATTTACGTGGACGTTGCTCGTCCATTCTACGCGCAATTTATCGTTATTAGCAATGAACACTTTTTATACCCCACAAGTAACACGCAGAAGGGCTTAAGACAGACCTTCTTTTTATAATACCGATCGATTCAGAATCATAATCTGAATTGATCTGTCCTTTCTTCTGATGTCGTTCGAGCTGCAGGTTGCAATTTTTGAGATATTTCGATGCAATTTGGTACAGTGGCGTGTTCTGGCGCAAGGACGAACTCAATTGAAAATGGTTTGGAGCGAGGATTCACCATCTTGTTTACTTCGCTCGACATGCGGTATATAACTTAGGTTGAACTTTTTTTTTGTTTTGTGATGTATAAAAGAGGACTGGATCAAGTAAATGATTAGACCAATATATGAAGTAACGTTATGAGTTTTTAATACAAGTTTTCCTTTAGAGTTTAAAACTGATAGACAGAAAGATGATAGCAGACAAAACTGATGATGCAGATCACATGATGAGTATTCTTGATTTATTGATGATTCAATGATGTTGATCTTTCTCGATTAGTAGTTATATAGTCCGATATAGTCCATTCAGTATTGTCCATTCCAGTTTAGTCCAGAAGATTGATGTCATGCTTTGGCTATATAAGAATTATTCATTTATGGATTGATAAAATTAGTGAAAATACTATTAGACAAGACAAAAAGTTTAATTCTAATTATGGTAACTTAATAAAGGCAGTTAACTGCTTAAGATGAGATTTGTTGCGAGCATGAAAGATTTCATGTAGATTGTTATAAATTCCGAAAATCTTAAATGTATATCTAGTGTTTTTGAATTTACCGTACATTAAAATAAGATACTCGGCTGAGTCTTTTATGTGACGCTCATCACATACGTTAGGTGACAGCCGGCCAACCTTCTTTAAATAAACTTTGCCATATGTATGATTGCACATGAGTCTTTTGGGCACTTTAATTTCCTATGTGGTAAAGTTGGCATTAGAAAGCGGTTTAAATGTTATGAAAGGATGAATTTTGTAGAAAAGATGATCTTCATTTGACCTTCTTCTATCCCAAATATATCTTTGTCTTTCCAGTCTTGCATGACATTAGTTCGAATTACAAAGAGGTGTCTTTGGGGGGATATTTGATTGAGAGAATTTCTCCATCAACCCGAGCTTCACGAGCATGAAGATCAGCATTTTCATTTAAATGAAAGCTGCAATGACCTGATATTCAGACCACATGACATACGTCTATGTTAGAATTAGTTACCATATTATGGATTTCGAATACACACTTGTTGTGAGGATATATTTTTTGATTAGGGTTAAGACCGATCGGCTGTGAGAAAAAGCCACGAGTCTTTTAAAAGAAGTTTGGCTATATACTTCATATATATACATAGCAATTAATTTGGTTTTTAATATATGTAGATGGCAAACCGTACTCTGGTTTATTGAATGCTGGCGAAGATGATGAAATGAAAATAACAGGCTATCGTCGGTCACGTAGTCGTACATTGTTATGTTGGTTATGTATTTGCTTGACTGGTGGCTTATTACGTTTGATTATGCATTGGTGGCGTCATTGGTACTTAATTGCTACACATGTGGTGTGTACTCTGGAGGAAGCTGATAAGGTATTGGTTGAAGAAGATTATAAAGGAAAACATAAAATTTATTACGTTAAACCAATAATACAGTTAGATTACAATACTTTAAAGTGAGTTTTTGTGATAAGTTTATTTTTAACTTTAGATTAATTACATTATTTCTACAATCTCAGACAAGAGCAAATAAAGAAAACGGAGCGAGAAAGACATACTAGAAGAAAAAATGAGGATGACATCGCTAAGACTGAAGACGTTGGATCAATTCTCGATATGGATGAAAAAAATTTTCATTTGTCTTTGCATTTCTCTGCAGGACAATTTAAATGTAAGCGATCAGTGCAAATTTGAGAAACGCAAATGGCATGTTCTTTAAATACATTTTACAGATTACAAAAATGTCCGTATGTTTAATTGCAAACAATTGCGTTATGCTTGGAATGTTCAGACAAAAACCTTTGATAAGCTGCATGGGTTAGATGTCAATGTAGTTAATGCTTACTTTTATCAACAGAAGGGTTTGGGTACCCAAGAGCAATTGGCTCGTCGCCTAGTCTACGGCATTAATGAGATTACGGTTCCTTATAAGGATATAAAAACATTACTCTTTCTAGAAGTACTTAATCCATTCTATGTATTTCAAATATTCTCAGTTGTTCTTTGGTTCACCTATGATTACTACTACTACGCTTGTGTAATCGTGTTAATGTCTGTCTTCGGCATTAGTATGTCGATACTGCAAACTAAAAAAGTAAGTAATACAAAATAGGCATACGAAAGATCTTATTGAAGTCCTGCTTTTGGAAATATACTCAAGAATCAAGACGCTCTACATGAAACTGTGCAAAATACTGGCTCCGCTTTAATTGTGACCGAAAAAGGCGGGATAACCGAAGTGCCTACACATTATTTAGTGCCTGGTGATATAATTGAAATACCACCTGCGGGTTGTACCATGCAATGTGATGCTGTCTTACTATCTGGTAATTGCATTCTTGACGAATCCATGTTAACGGGTCAGTAGTGATAAATAAAAAGTTTCATTCCTTAAATTTTCATAACTTTTTAAATGGGCTTTTCTAGGTGAAAGCGTACCAGTTACTAAAACTCCTCTACCTATGAAACGTGACGTCATCTTTCATAAGAAAGATCATACTCGTCATACTTTATTCTGTGGCACAAAAGTTATACAAACGCGTTACATTGGTTCAGAAAAAGTTTTGGCCTCAGTTATTAATACAGGCAATATAACTGCCAAGGGTGGTCTTATACGTTCTATATTATACCCGCCTCCAGTTGATTATAAATTTGAGCAAGACTCTTATAAATTTATTGAATTTTTAGGTTTAATTGCCCTCATCGGTTTTGTTCATACTCTTGTTAGTAAGGTGAGTACAAAGAATTTTCGATGGAAAATCCAATTGAGGAGTAATAGCTGAATAAATCTTAAGACCACTCCGATTTTCGCAACAATTTTGGTGACATTTTAGATATTGCGTGGGGTAGATCCTGTTAAAATTGCCGTGGAATCATTAGATTTAATAACCATTGTGGTACCACCTGCTTTGCCAGCCGCCATGACTGTTGGTCGTTTCTATGCTCAAAAACGTCTGGAACGTAGCAACATCTATTGCATCTCGCCACGCTCCATCAATGTTGCTGGCAGTATTGATTGCTGCTGCTTTGACAAGGTATTCTTCAGATTTTCATTTACTCTTTTTATTCCGTTTATTAGTTTTAATATTTTTTGTGCTTATAGACCGGAACTTTAACTGAAGATGGCTTAGATATGTGGGGTGTAGTGCCAAAATCGGCTACTAATCAATTCCAAATACCTATAAAACAAATTGAACGTTTGCCTTGTGATAAGTTTTTATTTGGTATGGTGACTTGCCATAGCATAACAGTGATGAACGGTAAAATCATGGGCGATCCTCTCGATTTAAAAATGTTTGAATCCACTGGTTGGATATTGGAAGATCCACAAGATATACCTGATAACCGAAAGTATGGACTATTATACCCTACTATTGTAAGGCAACCAAAATTAAGCAAATGTGATCAAGATGCAGAAAAATATCCAACGGCAAGATTAGCTGACCGTCAATCATCGGTTGATGATTTACTTTCGAACGTGGGTCTATTGAATGGAGAATCTAGTAATGATCACGGCATTGTGCGAGAATATCCATTTACTTCCAATTTGCAACGTATGTCTGTGATTACGCGACGTCTTAGTGAAAAGAACTTCAATGTTTATTGCAAGGGATCGCCGGAAATGTTGCAACAGCTATGTTCCCCGAAGAGTATACCTGATAATTATAGCCAGCAGCTGGCGGCGTTTGCTAAGCAAGGTTACCGGGTAATAGCAATGGCCTATAAAGCTCTTAGTCCAAAAGTAAATTATACCAAAGTTCAACGTTTAGCTCGTGAAAATGTCGAAAGTGATTTAGAATTTTTAGGTTTTGTAGTTTTGGAAAATCGTCTCAAGCCTGATACTACTGAAGTAATAGAGGCTCTAAGCAAAGCAAACATACGCTCCATTATGGTAACGGGCGACAACATATTGACAGCACTAAGTGTGGCACGTGATTGCGGTATTGTAAGTCCTACACAAGCTATGGTGACCGTTAATGTCAGAAATCGTAACCTTGATAGAGTGGGCGATAGCATACAATCTGATAGCTATGAATTGTATTACACTTTAGACTTGGGCAGCAAAAACTGCGTGAGCAGTACTATGGCTAATGGCGACACTAACGGTATAATAAGTAATTCCACTACCAAAAATTCTTTGGCTTATGATAACAACTACCATTTACTGAACGGTGATGTGGCTTCTCTAAACAGCACAGCTTCTATAACGCTGCCAAAGAGTGAAAACTGCGGTAGCGTTGAGACCATAGCAACTTGGACTCATAATGACGTAGAACTGGGTCTAAATATGCCCCTGGAAAGCGAGCCACCGCCTATTACCACTATGGAATGGCGAGATAATTATCGCTTTGCCATGTCTGGTGGAACTTGGCAAATTGTTCGCGATCATTTCCCTGATTTATTACGTAATTTTTTGACACGTGGTGTCATTTATGCCCGTATGTCGCCTGAACAAAAACAAGCGTTAGTTACGGAGTTGCAAAGTTTGGATTATTGTGTCGCTATGTGCGGTGATGGGGCTAACGATTGTGGCGCGTTGAAAGTGGCTCATACGGGTATTTCGCTAAGTGAAACGGAATCCTCAATAGCCTCTCCCTTCACCTCGCGTAATTCTACCATAGCGGCAGTGCCGAATGTTATACGCGAGGGTCGGGCTGCTTTGGTTACATCATTCGGCATTTTTAAATATATGGCGGCCTATTCGATGGTACAGTTCATATCGGTAATGATATTGTACTCAATCGATTCGAACTTAACAGACAAGCAGTTTTTGTATATCGATCTGGGTTTGATATCAGTATTTGCGTTCTTCTTTGGTAAAACGGAAGCTTTTGAAGGTCCGTTGGCTAAGCAAGTACCCTTATCTTCATTGATTTCACTGGCGCCCTTAGCTTCTGTAGTCTTGCATTTACTTGTGGTAATAGCATTTCAAGTTGCTGGTAAGTATAAATTAGCAAACCATTGAACTTTTAAGACGCGTTTTTATTCTTTATGTTATTCAGGATGGTTTCAACTTCATCAGCAGCCATGGTTTGTGCCTTTTGAACATTCTAGCGATGAGCATTTGGGTTGCTTTGAAAATTACACAATGTTTGCTATATCCGGTTTTCAATACATTATTTTGGCTTTTGTATTTTCCAAAGGTGCCCCTTATCGCTGTCCTATATGGTCGAACATACCATTTTGCTTCGCTTTAGTTGTAAATCTATCCATCATCATCTACCTCGTAGTATATCCGGCTGAATGGCTAACCGATTTTTTACAGTTGATCGTACCAGAAAGCATGGATTTTCGTTATTGGATGTTAGGTTATGGTGTAGTGAATTTTTTAATCCATATAATGGTGGAAACTGTAATAGTGGAATATATGCTATTCAAAAAATTTCAAGCACGAAGAGATCATGACTTGCGTACATCAAAACGGCGTTATATGCAAATTGAATATGAAATGCAATTTTATCGAAATTGGCCTCAGATAACAGAAGAGATTGAAACGTATGACAATAAGCAAATGGAACAAGATTCGAACCCTACTTACTTTGAAATCAGTGCGGAACAAAACTTTGACACGCCAACTTTCGGCCGTACCCCGTTAAACAGTTTCTTCGATGCGGATTCAGCCCAAGCAACAACAACTGTAGTCACTGGAGCTCAAACGATACCCTGAACTAAATTTAGATAATATCACAATAAGGACGTGAAATTGAAAAAAAAAAGATACGATTAGAGTCAGGATGGGTTAAAAAGATCTTGTTATCATTTGGAAGATTGTTACATGAAAGCTACGAAGGAGTACTTAGAAAAGCATTAACGTGTTGTGAGATAATAAAAATGTTGAAGTGTAAAGATTCTCACTTCTTACAAAATCAAATTATGTTCATACTTAACAAATAATACAAAAAACGTTTATTTATTTCAAAAATGATGCCGCATTATTTTTCTCTAATATTAAAAATGAAATTTTTTTATAGTTTAAGTAAAGTAAAATAGGTCAAAAAGTAAATAAAGGTGAAAAAGAACACATACAAGAAATATCTTATTTATATTAACAGTTTTACATAGGCATGTGAACTTAAACATAAAAGATATTGCATTAATTAAATTATTACAAATGTACCGCCAAGTTTTAATAAAGTTGCTTTATGATAGACCGGAGTACTTAACATCATTCAAACTAAGTTAAATGAAATAAGCTCGTTTCGAGAAAATAATCTTTTAAAAGTCATATATAGCTTATTATATATTATGACCTCGATATTTGATTTTTTTTTGGTCCTTATTTTCCTGGTCTCTGTCACTTTAGTTACGTTTTCACCTGTTGTATGCATTTCTGCGATTTATCAATTTTTTGTAATTTGAAACTTTAATTTATTTCTACGCACATTTTCCAATAGCTGTTGTTTTTTGTAAATGCTTTTGTTTTAGTACTTGTAAATAAATTTGATAAAAGTTCTCCTTTTAAAAAATCGAAATTATAATAAATTTTGTAACTTACTAAGCGTACAATCACGAGAGACGATATGATTTCTGTACCTAAGATTCACCCTTCTAATTTGTTTTCTATTCCAGGAGAAAAAAACTACAAAACGTCAACATTTGTAAAAACAAACTGTTCATAAAAAATTAATAAAATAACAAAGGTTTAAAAAAAAAGGAAAAATTTCTATTCGTTTGATCTTACTCAATAACCGCACCCTAACTGGAGACATCGAACTTAGTTTCTCAGATCTCTCTGGTGATTCATCAAAAATAGTAATATATTTATATATACAAATTTTCTTTTATATATAATTAAAATTTAAGTATTGTACATAAAAATTCAAAGGATTGTTTTTAAAAGTTCGAAAGAAAGAGGAATGAATATATGAATTTTATGCAACTTATATCACAGAATTAAAAATAATTTAAAAAAATAATGCTGTCGGTATAGCTAGATAATAACTAAATTAAAAAAAAAAATTTATATAAGATACAAACGCATTATATACATTTCGCTGGCAACATTATGCGAGCAATACTATTAGATTTGCAAGAAGGCATTCGATAAAACGAACGATATTAAAGATCTTAAGCAAAAATATTACATGTATAGAATAGGACATTTTTGTTTAAATCACATTTTGGCTCATTTAGAAATTTGGAAATAATTATAATAGTACATAGATAGAAATAGTAGAAATTAATAAGAATAATTATAATATAAATTTTTTGGCAATAAATATATAAAAAAATAATGGTAATTACCCGAAAAGAAGACAAATTTATTTATAAAAAAATGTTCATATGAACTTAACAAAATTAAAAATAGCCAAGCAGAGAAAAATCAACATTAAAAATTCTAGTGGATGTGCGCTTATATATACAGTAAAAGTTCCTTATTTGCGCTTCCTTTATTCGCGGATGAAAAAATGCGACCATTTCCCATATTGGCGGCTATAAATTTCTTTATTATAAGAATGTAAACAAACAGAACGAAACAAACCTTATTACTCAATGAATAAAGTATTGTCGCGAAAATCCCAAATCTAGTTCATTTCAGCTAAATAATTTCCCCAAATAACAAATTGCCTAAAGAGGGAAAAACTAAACGCACATTCGCATTCAATTAAATTAATTTTTTTTATTTTGTCCCCTAGGAACGTATCTCCTATAATCCCATATAAATTACCATTCCGTATTCAAGGTTTTTTTTTATTTTGTCACCTAGGAGCTTATCCCCTATAATCCCATATAAATTACCATTCCGTATTCACGGTTTCTGTATTCGCGGCATTTTTATGGAACGTATCCTCCGCGAACAAAGAATTTTTGCTGTAATTGCTTAAGCCAATTTACCCACGACCACACATACGTATTTCTACTTTAGTGCGAATACACTTACGCATAAATCCATGCAAAACATCGTAGTATAACGTGTTAATAGTGGAGTCTTTTGCATGGTTGCCTTACAAATTTCAATAAATGTTCTCATTTCAGTTCTTTTATTCTCTCTTATGGTCTTTAACATCGTCTGTTTTTATCGGATGCCTTCTTGCATACCTACTAATAATTTTGCTGCGCAAATGTTGCTAGCGAAACGTTCTATCTTATATATAGTGTTGCCAATGAACTTAAGAAAGTCCTGTTAGACATGAAGAAAAAATCTGCTAAAGGGCTTCTGTGAAGAATCCAGAAAACAAAGATGGTTCAATGCGTACCCTTAGCATTACATTAGGTTTTAAACTTTCGAAATATCACAATACTTCCAAAAAGACCTGTCGGAATGGGGAACGTGAACTATATGATAAGTTCATGGCAATAAAAAATATTTCTTGCAACAAACATCTAATTATTGTAAATGTTTTGACAAAGAATCGTGCGATAAAAAAATTCTAATTAAAAACGTCTAATGTCCCAAACACCTCTTCCGATATAACCTACTTTTTGTCCGAAAAAGCCTACAGAAACGACTCACGGGGGCAGCGTTATTTATAAACAACATGCATCAGAAATGGAACGATTCTCCTCTGAAGTAAGAAAATTTCCGATGATCAGGATTTTTTGAGGAAAACATTACTTATCGTAATTTTTATTGCTTTGATCAAACACTTTTTAGGGCAACAAACCTTCTAAAAAGGTTCATTCATTACAAATATGACCAACCGTCTACAATATAACGCATATAAAGTGTTTGGCGTAACTTATCGTTCTTCGACTTCTTTTCGTAACAATTAACAATGGTTTCGATGTTACAATTGCTAGTTATACATCGACCACCAAATGCCGAGACGATGGCTATGGTGGTATTAGCGCACTTGTTCATAAAGGAATTAAATCCACCTGTGTTCCTTACAATTCAGCCGCTGATGTTATTATCATCAAAGCTACGCATTTAAAACTAAAGATTTTTATTGTAGCATGCTACTTTACACCAAGTTTAAAGTACAACGTTGTCGTAGGAGGATTTTTTTGGTGCTGAACAAAATGTTATATTAGTCGCAGACTTCAATGTTGGGTGTTACTCGCATGGTGACTAATAAAGTTTTGTCTTCCTTCGTCTTCTTAAAATAACGATACATAGTCTTCCTACCTGCGAACAATTGAAAATCCAGCTTAATTTTCTGTGAAAAAGAGATTGCTCGCAATAAACTTAGCGATTATTTCACAATTTTGCCTTTTAAGCCACACAAACGTTTAATGATCCTTTCTCTTTTGTATTGTTGTAACGGGGGTTATTTATAGATGGGGCGTGTCTTCATGACGATAGAAAAAACCAACACGCCTTGACCGGGCTGCCTTACGTTCTCTTTATCGAGGGAAATATAATTCGCGTGCGACTGTGTTGCGGAAATTAAACTGTAATGTGTATACCCTTTTAATTAATCTTTTTAGTGGTTCAGTCTTTCGGGTACTTAAAAGTGTAGTTTCTGACTGGGAATCTGTGAGATAATGTTGCAAGTGCACACTGTTATTTTAAAGGCCCGGTTCCGGACGGACAATACCTACGAGCTAATTATTGGTACCCCACAAAGAATGAAATTTTCACAGCAACTCTTGAAAAAATAAAAAAATAAATAGTTATTGTTTCTTCCTAATTACATCAAAAAAGGCGTAAGAACCTAAACTGCGTTGTGTCAACCAGTCGTAACTGAATCCCATTTTTCTTCTCATATTTCTCCTTGTTCTATCTTGAAAAATATTATACAATCCATTTAATCTCGAGAAACTTTAAGAGACAAAATAAAATAAGCATTAACCAGTAGAGAATATTCAAATAGATATTTTCCGGATTTTGCGTGCCTTGAACATGAACATATTTATAAATTACTAATTGTTCCTTCGAAAGCAATCAAGCAACCAAACACGAGATTTAATAAAAAAAAATTAATAAAATAAAAATGTTGGAGCGCTTACATTCTCCGCAACTACGAGTTAATTACGCATGTCACCAAATTTAATCAGAAAATCACAGGTTCTGTAGAAGAATTACGAAGAAGATTGGCTCAGCTCATTACCATTGAACACACAGATGAAGAATTGGTCGGCTTTAGAGTTACAAGCCAAATATGAGCCACCAAAGTCTCCAAACATTGGAAGCGGCACCAGCGTAAACATGAGCACGAAAGCAGCGCCGACATTAAAAGTGATCATTCCCGCAGAAATTCGACTATCAAGCGATGAAAAGTACTCCATCATGCAAACATGCGCAAGTGGAATATCAAATATGATGGAAGATAAGACCCGTTTATGTTTTTTGAGAGAATAGAAAAACTACCATATTTTTACGGAATTAATCCCCGAGGACTATCGAGTACCATGCTCGAAATACTTACTGACCTGGTATCGACACAACAATAAACAATGGACGTCCTGGCGTACCTTTAAAACAGATATCCTCCTGCTTCGTTAGCTGGAGGATTGGAAGATGAAGTACGCTCGTACCGAGCGAACCAATGAAATTTTGAGAGATTATGCCCTGGCTTTACAACAACACCTAATGCGGGATTGCAGGATGAACGGAAGAGAAAAATTAGAAGGAATTTTGCCGAATGCACTTGCTACATGCAGCATATATGACAACGAGACTTTAATTCACTCAAAGAACTTCTCGAACTAGCACAGGAAATCGAGGGTATACCTGCAACAAATACCAGTGCGTCTCTTCTTGAACGAAACTGGATGATAAATATCAGAAGTTATTTTCCAGACAAGAATCGACGTGCAACTAATAACCGGA